CAACAAACAGGACCCAAGGAAATGGCCACAAGACGTAACAGAGGAGGTTTAGGTTGGACATAAGGAAGAACTTTTTCTCTCAGAGAGTGGTCAGGCACTGGAGTGGCTGCCCAAGGATGCGGTGAGTCGCTGTTCCTGGCAGTGTTCAAGAGGCATCTGGATGAGGAGCTACAAGATATGGTTTAGTAGCTTGTGGTTGCAATAGTAATAGGAGGACAATTGGACTAGATGATTTTGCAGGTCATTTTTAACCTTGTGATTCTATGATCCTATGATCCTATAACTATAATAAATGTAAAAAAACATATGTTGAATTGAAATTTGACGAGATGAAGATTTCAATCTCCCATTTCCCATTGCTGGTTCAGGCAAGTTTCTCTGGATTACAGAATATTTCAAAAGCGTGTTGTTCAGTCAGAAGCAAATCAGATGTTTTATAGGCATAAAAACACATTAAAATGAAGCTCTAAAACTTCAGCCCTAAAGCTCTAAACATAAAAACAGTATAAGAATGATTTAGGTTTTACAGATATAGGCCACATATATAACTTCTGAAAGCAGGACTTTATTCCATAACTAATACAATATTTCTAAATAGCATGGATATTCCATGCACTTCAACAGTAGGAATATTTTTAAACTTCATGTTCAAGCTTTTGTAAAAAATGACATCAGAGATGGAGCTCTTCATCAGCTCACACTCTGACCAGATTTATTCCTGTGTCTGGCAAAGTAAAGCAGATACAGAAAAAATGGTTTCCACTCTAAGAATCCTGAAAATTCTGTGAATCAAAATGGAGCTTAAAACAATTTATGAAAGGCATAAGAAAGCACTTCCAGAATGTCTATTTCATAGCCATCCTCACTGCATTATCTAACAAACTGCTATGCATTGTAGATTTCTTGCCCTTGACATAATTCTTATTTGTCAGCAGAAAGCACATGACAATAGCTATAATTGCTTTATGAACCCACAGTAAGTATCTAACAGCTCCATCATACCAGTTTCTTGCATATTACTCTGAATTACAATATATTAATAAGAAAGCCTTGGAAGCACTTCGAATTTTACAGAAAATGACAACTAAAAATATTAATCAGAACACAAAAAATTGTTTTTAAAGAAAAGTCAATCATAATTAAAGATTAACATACTAACAGTTCTAAAGTAGATTAATTACCTTCACAAATTCTAATGACATCATACTTGGCTGAAGTAAACTCATTAAGTCATTAAGGGCGCCTGATAAGTATATCATGAAACAGCCTCTCCTCCATGTTGAGAGTTTAGCTGAAAAGTAAATCACTATGTCTCTTTGGTGTTTAAAGCAGATTAAGAGCTGATTCAAGAAGAATGTGCCACCTAATTAAAAGCTACAAAATAAATCAGTCGTGAAAAGTCACCTCTCCCTACATTTCATTCAAATTCAGTTAAACGTGTTACATGAATTTTCACATTAAATTATTTGATCCATAAGACTTATTTCCTATTCTTTTTCACCAGAGTAGAGGACTTTCACACTGGCAAAATCTTTATTTTTCTTAGTGAAAATGTATTACTTAAAGCTCTGCCTTTCAAAACCACACACTACAAAACCAACAACAACAAAATGATCGACAAAAAATATTTAATACTAATGAAAAAAAATCAATTCTTCAACTTTTCTATGTTTAATTTAATCTGATATCTCAGTGTATTATGGGAATACGTTTATCAGAATCAGCAGAGACCAAATGTTAATTATGAAGGCCAAGCACAAATGAATACTCTTACTTATAGACCCTGACACACTAGAACTGCAAAGTACTCTGCAGATCTTATTTTATGAAAATGTACCAAGAGCACAAATGTATAGGCCCTTAGGAAGCAATTATCCCTAAAAGATTTAGGTATAATTCAATCTGAAATATGATAAGATTTTTTAAATGGTTTCACAAAGAAGAGGATTATTTTACTTTAGTGATGAATGTAGGTGTTCACACCCTTCCCTGAATGACCCCTGTGCAGTTATGCGCATTACTTCGAGGAAAGATTTGACATCAGTCTTGTCATTCATTTAATATATACTCCGACGATCAAAAAGAATAATATAAAAATTAGGAGTATCAATTTGGAATTGTGGGACTGAATGGCCCACAACACTAAGAAATATTCTATTCCATCAATACAATAAATGCAGAAATTTTAAATTACATAGCACTAATATGTCTGAAAGAGATTACTTAAAAACATCTTAGCAAAGATGTACATATGTAAAATCACAGTATATATCTATACACTGTGCATTATGTGTCAAGTGTCTTATCTGAAAGATGATCCTCTGGTGTGATAAGGGATCTAAAAGTATGTAAAACCAAAAGTAAGCAGGAATGCTTACATCACTTTTGTGATCCCTGCCTGAGTCTGGCCATTTTACTGTCTGCACCCCTTCTCTCTGATGAAAAGTCTCTTTGCTGCTTTATCTCACTCAGGAGTCTGTGTACTGCTGTAGCCTCAAACCAGGCTGGAAGCAGCTCTTTGAGCTAATATAGCTAAAAATAAAACAAAAAGCTTGCAGTTTATCTCACATGTTAGACCATACCATCTGTGAAATGAAATAGGTTTTTTTCTGAATATTGGTCTTATGCCATTTCTTCCTTCTGAGCAACTCATCACATTAAGATAATTTAAAAAAATAAGGAAGAAATAATTATCTGTAGGTCTCGTTAAGAATATTTCAGGATGCTGCAAGGCAATGATCTCATTATTTGTCACAACTTTTTATGCCATTCTTAATCCAGTTGATCCCGATTACTGTATTTTCACCCAGATATGATTGCAAGTATCCTTACACTGCCTTTGATATTTGCACTTCCATTGCTCCCTGCAGCAAATCTGAAGCTGGTCAAATTTCTCATCTGTCCCCTAGCACCAAAATGCGTATTTTGCCAAACTAATTCACCAGCATCAATTATATTTAAGAGATAATAATTTTAAGACAGATTCTTTTTTTAATCTTTCTTAATCAAATTTGTTCAGGATGGATTTGGTATCTGAACATCTCTCACAGAATAGGTGTTTGTATTTGAATCAACATTACTCAATGCAGCACTGCAATCAACAGGCAGACAGGCCCATCCATGGCTGAAGACATCGCTGACCTGACTCCCATCCCTACCAGCAGCTCTGTACCTTCCTACAGCTACAGCTGCACTAAAAAGAGCTGATAAACTTTTCCTTTTGATGACAGCTTAGGGCAGAACAAGTGTTGATAAGTTGCACAACAATGCTGACCACTTTTGCTAAGACTGCATACATGCATTTCAGAGTTTCTAAGGTTAGGAATTCAATCTAAGCAAGTGGCCTTCCAAAAAGTGCTCAGATGGACCTACCCTCACCGTAGACTGCAGTAATAAGAACTGAAACAAACTCAAGAGAGGTATAATGTTAAGAAAGTACAACTACCAAAAATTGAAAAGCATTCCTTTTTTTCCTCCCCAGACTCTCATCTCTAAAAGACAATGACCAATTAACCTCTAACTCTGAAAATATCAAAAAATGCCTGTGACAGACAGAAATTAAATTCTTTAAAGATTATGTGCTGCGAGAGCAATGTCAGGCTTAGGATGAAATCCTAGTAACACTCTGAACTATTAAGTCACTTCTTGCTCTGAAAATATAATTATCCTGTGAGCATTATGTCAGACAATATTGTATGTAAAAAACGTACTCTTTATAAAACATTGATGTTTTCTAAAGGAAAGTGCCTGTGCATAACGGTTTCAATGACAGAAAAAACAAGTCAGTATGCAATTAATGAAAGACAATACTACTTATTACAAACAATGTGCCTGACAAACAGGAACTTTCAGTGATCTCAGATTCAAAAAAATACCATTAGCATAGTCAGAAACAGCCCTGAGTGTTTACAGTCTCTATTACCAGACATCTGAGGTTAGATTGCTTTCAATATTGCTGACTTGATTTTGTAAAAATCACCATAGATTCTGATGGGAATTATAAGCCCATAAACACACTTGGTTTATATGCCATACAGCCTCTTTCTGTTTATTCATTACACTTTTTTTTTTTTTTTTAACTGAGAAACATCAAACTACACAAGGATTTGCCTCAATTCCTTTACTTTGCATTGGTCAACATGCAGCATGAATAACGACACTTTCCTAACGCGCACATACAGAGGAACATCTGCCTACAAATGATACACTTGGATCTTACTACCTACATCAAGCGGTTTTAAAATGGCAACACAGTTTCAACAGAGCAACTTCTGCCTTTACACTCTTTCCATTACCAGTCAAAAAGATTTTTATGAATACAGCAGCTAAACAGGCGTGCGTGAACACTTGCGCATCTTACTTGGCTTTTGCTCTTATTCTGCCTAGTGGTGAGACGGCTGGTTATGTAGCTATCAATTTCACTGACGTTACAATTTCCCTTTCTCAATGCAGCAATAACCTGTCACTTTATACTGTCCTTTCTTTGACCCTCTCCTGCCTCTCTGCTCATTTTTATTCTTATTGACAAGACTTATTATTCCTCTTCCCAATTCCAACTAGCTACCCTTTTGCAAATAGTAGTATCAACTGTGTGGTCACTAGTAGTATAGGTCAACAATGTTATTAATATAGCACACACTGCTAGGAGCAGATCAAACAGCCATACTTTAAAATATTAGTTTTGCAAAGGTACTGTGAAGCAAATAGCTGCAGTTTTCTTCACGTTATAAAATGTAATCCAAGGACAGTCTCCAAGAATTCAGTATAAATTTCCAGCCCAATAATTCGGACTGGATGTTATTTTTTTCTTGTTGTTTTCATACACAAAATAAAATAAAACCGTAACAGAAGGGTGCTGTATCTGTGTTTAAAGAAGGGGTTGTTGGCAAACACCATAGCTCACTTCTGCTGAAATGTACACAACTGATATATGCAGCCCAGAAAGCTGGCACCAGGGGCTTACAACCTTAATTTGCCTGCAAGAAGAAATGGAGATTTACCTTCAGAGCACGTTCTTGATTGTTTTCAGCAGTCAGATGTCTCGTGTTGTTTGCTGAAGTCTGGTTCTGCTCTTTCAGATGATGAAGCTCCTGCTCTAACCGTTTGCACTGCAACGAGGAAAGAATCCCATTAAGTAGAAGAGTGTGAGCATATTTTCTTTTCAACAAGCCAAATGAATTAACGTAAATAACCCCATCACCATTTCTACAAGTAGAGAAAGCATCAGACAAAAGCATGTTGCAATTCCTAAATAGTACTAGAGCTGTTTTTAAAATGTGCAGCATTATTTAGCTTCCTCCTGTCCAACTGTATGCCAAAACAAAGCTAAGTTTATTATCAGATAAAGAATTTTTGCAGAACATTTTAAGAAGTCTTAAAAATTACAAAGATATTGAGATGAAATTCTGCTCATACCTATATAATGCCAAATTTTGTCGTATTAAGTATGTATAAAGGAAGCAACATATGCTTTTAGGAAAATGAGCAAATTAAACATCCTCCAACTCAATCAGCCTTTTAGAAGAAAATATATGTGTAGCTTTTATTCTTTTTTTTTTTTTCCTTTTATGTTGAGATTACTCTAATTCCCGAGCACATACCACAGCTTGGAAGAAAATAAGTTTTAAGAGTATTATGCTTAAATATTAATTTAATGACAAAGAATGAAAAATTTAACATTTGCTGCTGTGTGCATACATATATGTACTTACTGCTGTAACCTGAACACCTATTCTAAAGATTAAAGATCTGCAAATTGTGTAGTGAGCTAAATTATATTTGACCATTTTTTACAGTAACCATAAGAAGCCTTGCCTCTTTTTAACTTTGGTTAAAAAGAGCAATTAGTTGCCAGCAAACAATGCACTGTTTTATGAAAAATAATCCTTAAAAAAAAAAAAAAAGAAAAGAAAAAAAAGCAGATTAAGGACCAGGAAGACATAAGGGAACAATTGTTGGACAGATCTAGGCAAAATTACAACATTAACAAGAACATTTTTGAACAGCATATTACAAAGAAGTAGTTCAGATATCATCACTAAAAAAACTAAGCTGGTAGATCCTGTTGGGACATTAGACAATTCACTGAGAAAGAAGATTTTAATAAACACCTTCTGAAAACACTAGTAAGAAAGAAATGAGAATTGTGATTTAATGCTCACATAAGCACTGTTGTCTCAAATAAAAGGCTTGAATATTTCAGTCTCTTTTGCTACCTTGCTGGCTTTGGAAGGCACAGAAAAGAGCTTCCTATCAAATGCATAGAATTTATTCCAGTGCAGTTCTTACTGGAGTCAACTCTAAACAGAGAAAAAACGTGAAATAGAGAGCTGTGGTATAACTGAACTATATATATAAACTACAACCGAAGCCTAAGTAAAATAGAGATGCAAAGGAGTTTGAGACAGAAATTTTAAATAAAACACATCAACATATTCCCAAACACAAAAGACATCATTTTCTCTTCTGAATAATGTACTGCAAGTCAAGATAGTACATTTTAGAATATAAAACAAAATAATCTGATCCTATATAAAAATAAATTTTAAATAATTGTAGGTGTCCAACAGTAATATTAAAATATCTGATTTTATATCAGCTGTGGTATTAGCATGTCTCCCAGGAGTAATGCAACTGTCAGTGAGAGTCAAAGTTTCTTAAAGCACAGTTTCAATTTTATACCAATAAAATGAGAAAAAACCACTTTCTAATAATATAGGAAAATGCAGAAAAAAATGCTAAAATAAATTTGACTGCAAATGTATTTCTAAACTTTAGACATTTAATGTCTATCTCACATAAAAGTTATAAATCACACTTGGAATTCTTCTTCTGTCAGTAATAAAAATTATGTGTCTAAGCATTTGAGAAACAGGAGCTCTGAAAAATACTAAAAAGGAAACCCACAGTATGCTATTTTTTCTCTGGATTTCTTGTTTGTTTTCTGCACCATAAAGGATCTAAACGTTATCTTAAAAAACTACTACTACTTTAGGTATTATTCATGGTGCTTCTGTTGCCATGTAGTATCAGTAGGCATCTTGCTTTTCTGTTTTGCAGACACCTTTTTTTGCTCTGCAATTCCCCGTTTGAATCAGGAGCAGCGTGGATTTCTTACAGGAAATATGTAGAAGGCAAAAATCTCAACCTACCTTTAACACAAGAATTTTTATTAATGCTATTCTCTTGACTACAAAAAAAGTGAAAATATGCTAAGAATAACAGTGTAGCTCCAGGAGAAAACAGTAAAATTTCTTGATGTACAGAGCTGGTTGCACAATTAAGAGCATGGGTGCCATGTTATCCTGCTCTCCGTTCTCCTCTTGTGAAGTCAAAATACTGAAACAAACAGGGGGATCCTTGAGCCACACGGCAGATCCAACACACACACAGGATAAAGATGCAACACAAGTAATGTAAAAGGCATGTACATCTCTATCAACTCAGCCTTAGAACATCAGCCTTGGTGGCATAACATCATTCACATTTCACTTCATTTTCAGTAAGAATGTTAATGTTAAAAAAAAAAAAAAAGGCATATTAAATCTGTATATAGCTTGAATCTATTTTGAGAATACCATTGAAAGAAGTGATGATCTAATTTGACCTTTGCACATAAGTGTCTTAATATGTTTGAAACAATGTATTTACAGAAGATGTTTCAAATGCATTACAAATCCAAATGTATTCTTAGCTGTCCAGGAAATGTCTAGGAAGTAAGATCTTTAAATGCTCTGCACGGGAAAATATTATAATAATCTTAAATGACAATATTTTGTATGTTTTACTAACATTTTATAAGCTGCAACACATTTACGCCTGAACTATTTTTCAACCATTAAAAACTGAATTCCAAAAACAAGTAATTTTTCACAAGATCAAGAGCATATGAAATTTCTGTGTAGTTTTGCTATAAGGAAAAGTTTTAAAAATATAATTTAAAACAATACAGCTTTTCTCTTCATTTCAGCCAACATTTTTTGAATTCTGTGTCATTGGTCATTAGCAAGGTCCAGTAAAAATAGGTGTTCTTTGAAAGAACATGTGTTTTTATTGGTTCAATCCAAGGCTCTAAAATGTCAACAGCTGCAAGTAAGGAACTGGATTTCCTTCTAAAAACATATATAAAAATACTTTTTGGAGCACAGTGAGGAGAAGACATCGTCTGGTTCAGTACTGGCAAAAAGGAAATGTCAGTTGTATCCTTTTGAGAAAGCTGAATTCTAAGGCAAGTGTTTTATTTTAATTATAACAAATTTGAATCCTCTTAAAGACAGAGATAAAATATTTTGCGCAGCACAGGTTGCTTAACATTCTGATCTTAAGTGCAATTGTACACTTACAAAGACAGGACCATAACTGAGAAAACATCTTTTATATCTCAGACACTGTGGATACTTCAAAGAATATGACAGCAATGTAGACAGATGTCAAGGAGAACGTGCCTTGAGCAGAGCACTGAAGACTTTGCCAAGAAAAGGATTTTAAAGCCTTGGAAACGGTAGCATGTCATTTTATAAGGCTTGACACAATTCACCAAGGATCAGCTTCAGCACATAGACCACTGTGTTTATTTGGAGGCAATGCTGATTGGAGGAAAAACAAAAAACAAAAAAAGAAAAAAAAAAAAAAGAAAAGAAAAAAAAGAAAAAAGAAAAAAAAAAGAAAAAAAAGAAAAAAAAGAAAAAAAAAGAAAAAAAAAGAAAAAAAAGAAAAAAAATCAGCCCCTCTTCTTTCAAATCCTACCATTTGTTCCCCTCTTTAAAAATACACTTTCCCTCTACAAGTTTCCCACCTCAGCTAGATTCACTCAAGCCAGACAACAAATTTCTTTAGGCCTACTTCTAATGTTCCTTGGGCAATCATCAATGCCCATACATATGGATTCCACTAGAACATATTCTATTCCCAACAACAGGCACTCAATCTTCTCTTTAGCCATATTTTCATATTAGAACTAGTTTCACTCTTCTAAATGCACCCAGTCTTTCCAAAGAAATACTCTTGTACCCAACACAGGATATTTCATGAGCAATTAAATATAAAATGAAAAGCAAACAGCTGATGTATCAAAAGGAGAAGAAGAGATTCAGACAGGAAAGAAAAGACAGACAGTAAGAACACTTCCCACAAGACAAGCCTTTTTTTTGAAGAAAAATTAGCTAACATGACTCAGCAGAACAAGCATGTTCAAGGTGAGCACCAGTTAAACTCTCAGCAGGTGCTGACCTGTTTCAGTGGTGATGTAGCAGAAGGCTTGAGAACACCAGGAGGGAAAAATGCAGATAAACTCCAAAAAATGAGCACCTCATAGGGGAACACTGCTGGAGAGTTCAAAAAGTGGACCAACTGAGAATAGAGTTCTGGAGGCTCACCCAGGAAGAGGCTATTAATAGATGGTCCTATTTCCAGGTACGCAAAAGGAATAAAGATGGAAGACAGAAAAATCAATGCAGATAACCACTTAACACTGTTTGGCCTTTACTAAAAAGTGAGATTGCATTAACATACCAAACATAACTTTAGCACTTGTATATACAAATAATTTTAAACATGCTGTCAGCTTACCAGAGTTTTCTTCTTCAACTTGTACCTACAGCATGTTAACATGGTGATACAGAAAGAATACATCAGATATACTTTGAAATTAGGTAATGGAAATTCACATCAACGAAAACTGAAGAACAAATAATCTAAATACCAAACACATTAAAAACATGAACAAACATGAGCATATTTTCACCTGTTATTTTTAAGCTGTTGTCTGTGGAACATAAATACAATAAATAACAGCATGAAGTGAACAAAATTGATTAAACTGACTGTACTCTTAGTTTATTATTCTCCTTTCCTTATTTTGTTTATAATGACCTACACTTTAGAGTAGCTCCCAGCTCAAGGATTCCCAATTGAATGTAAGTGTTCTCAGTTCGACAGATCTTCTTTTCTTCTCCCTTTGGTATGCTTTTTTTTAAAAACAACAACAACAACAAAAAAAAAAAACCAAAAAAAAAAAACAACAAAAAAAACAAAAAAAACAGTCTACCCCTTGTCCCAAATTCATCATGATTTCTTGAGAGGCAAACATCTTGCACCACTTGGATGCTAC